AGATTTTAGAAAATTTTATTACACAGCAATAGTAACTAATGCATGGAGACAATGAAACAGGAGCTTTATAATGCAACCTAATTTCAATCTCAGTTCTACGTGTTATTGACTATATCATCAAAAACAAATTGTTGAATTTCTATGAGCCTCAGTTTTCATATCTATACAACAGTGTTGAACAAACCTATTTCAGAGAGCACAGCTGAGTGACAAGTGCAGCCCCAGCTCTTCTTGCTCTCCTGATCGGATATGACAGGGGGAGTTTTCCCTGGGCTACAGTCAGTGGCTGGCAGGGTCTGAAACCTTATACCATTCATGCCAGTTTGGTAGGGCATCTCAGATTGCCAGTGCCATGTTGCATTTAAAATTTTGTCTGCAGTTGCTAGACCATAAGCATTATCTCAAGAAGAAACAACAGAATATCAGAGTTTATGTCCATGATTTTTGTCCCACTCTCTGGATTTAGCTAGACCAATTCAATTTTTATTTTTTCAATTTTGAGTATAGAAAGCAGTGCTTACTTTCACTCATTTAGTAAACTTGCTATGTGCCACGTTTCATTCTAGCTTATGTTGTATTTGTATATTATATTAAATGTATATATATGTATGTGTATATATATATGTATGTGTGTGTGTGTGTATATATATATATATATATATACACCTATGCACACTGACATATACACCGTATTATTATTTCCCCCACTTTCAAATAAAGGAAAATTGAGACATAGAAAGTTTAAGTAATTTGCCCAATGTCTCACAGATTAGTGGTAGGAGAGCTCAGATTTAAACTTGGGCAGTTTGGCTCCAGAGGCTGTATTGTTAACCACCAAGTTGTACATAGATGTCTTCCCATAGATGAAAATGCAGGTTTCTTCTGTTTGGATGCCAGTATCTTCCTCAGTGGGCAAGAATAAGCTTGTACARTCATGTACAAGTTTTCATGTATGTGAAAACTTCATTTCACTTGGGGTATATGGAATGGAATTTCTGGGTAATATGGTAACTCTTTGTTTAACTGTGTGTTAAACCAGTGATGTGGCAAGGGAAAATATTACGAGTGGAAGGAGGACTATGGGATTTGGAAGAATACTCAGGCTGGGTTCCTGGTTTTCATGTGCTCCTGGCAAGTTACTTCACCTCTCTGAACCTGAGTTTCCTCATCTGTGAAATGGAAGCTACAATAAAATACCTTTTGGCCATTAGAGGGGGCTCAAGGATGACTTATACCAGAAGAACTGTTTTTTTGTTTTTTTTTTTTTTTTTTTKTACCAGGGATTGAACCCAGGGGCGCTTTATCAAGGAGACACATCCCAGCCCATTTAAAAAATATTTATTTAGCTACAGGTTCTTGCTGAGTTGCTTAGGGCCTTGCTAAGTTGGTGAAGGTAGCTTTGAACTTGTGATCCAGCTGCCTCAGCCTCCCAAGCCACTGGGATTACAGGCCTGTGCCACTGTGCCTGGCAGAACTGTCTCTTTGGACACTCAGTTCTAGCCATTAATAGTGATGAAGGGCAGAGCTTTCCTGTTGTGGGAAAGGGAGGAACTAAGGTGACCAACCATCCCAGTTTGCCCAGGAATTAGCGATTTTCTGGGATGCAGAACTTTGAGGTCTAACATTGAGACAGTGCTGGGGAAAGCAGGCCAGTTGGTTACCCTAACGTGATCCTGGAAACTTTAAGGGAAAGCATCCTTTAGGAAAGGTTGTTCAGTTTTCTGCACTGAAACAGATAATGAAGAGAGGGATATGGCCATAAGATTTTTTTCATAGAAAATGATTTAAGGTCAACAACTTAATTTTAATGTTTTGTAAAATAGCTTTATTGAGAACTAATTCACATAATATACAATGTACCCGTCTTAAATGGACAATTCAATGGGTTTAAGTACATTCACAGAGTTTTCTAACCACCAACGTGGGCATTTAGAACATGTTCATCACTCATAAAAGAAACACCACTCCCCTTAGACGTCACTCCACCTCCTGCTCCACAAGGTTCTCCGTCAGGCAGCCCTCGAGAACCACTAATCTACTTTCTGTCTCTATTCTGGACATTGTATTGTTTCTTCCACTTAGCACGTTTTCAAGGTCCATCTGTGTTATAGCATGTGTCTGTATTTCATTGCTATTTGTGCTACATGACATTTCATTGCAGGGACCTACCACGTTTTTGCTTATCTATCAGTGGGCAGACTTTTGAGTTGTTATTATGAATACTGCTGTTATGAACAATCATGGACAAGTTTTCATGTGGGCATATACTTCATTTCACTTGGGGTATCTGGAATGGAAATTCTGGGTCATAGGGTCACTCTGTGTTGAACCTAGTGAGGAATTCTCAGATTGGTTTTCAAAGTGACTGCACCATTCTGCATCGGCACTAGCAGTGTAGAAGGGTTTCAGTTTCTCCATATCATTAGTAATGCTTATTATTATCAGTCTTCTTGAAGTTGGCCATTCTAGTGGGTGGCTCATTGTGAGCAATCTTGTCTTGAATTCGCATTTGCAAAGCAAGTATACTCTGTCCCTTAGACTACTTATGTTAACTTGAATTGACGGTGGTTAAGGGAACCTAATCCCCCATTTTCCATTCTCCCTTTGGTCCCATTGCTAAATCCCAGCTGCCTTCATTATCAGAGGAATGACTGCAGGAGGTGGATTAGGCCAAATGCCTGTGGTCCCTTAGGGAGAGCCTCTCCCACTGCATTTCTCTTTTCCTTACCCCCATCTCATAGACGAAGACGAAGGTGGACTGTGTTTTTGGTCTTAGGTCCCCTGTTCAGCTCGAGAAGCAGGTTTGAATTGGCCTAATGAGCTAACCAGATATCTTAGTCCATTTGGGTTGCTATGATCCAAAACTGTAGATGGCGTGGCTTATCCAACAGAAATTTATTGTTCACGGTATGGAGGCTAAGATGTGCAAGATCAGGGATTAGCAGATTTGGTGTGATGAGGAGGACCAATTCTTGGCTGAGAGATGGCACTTTCTGGCTGTGTCCTAACATGATCAAAGAGCTCAGGGAGCTCTCTTGGATCTCTTTTATAGGGGCTAATCCCATTCATGGGGGCTCTGCCCTCATGACCTTTCACTCCCAAGGGCCTCACCTCCTAATACCATCACATTGGGGATTAGGATTTCAGCGTATGAATTTGGGAGGGGGTAGACACCGACACTCAGACCATATACCAGGAGACCCCAGGCATGTGTGGGACCAAAGCTGGGAATATCAACAGAGAGGTCCTGGTTCAGAAATGCCACTTGTGTCCACACCAGGCATCACAACTTKCCAGATCTGGAGCTCAATCTGCATCAACAATGTCACATTTGGTGTATGGCATTGCAAAATTGGCACATTTGAAATAAAAACCCATTTTTTCTTCCATTTTTTTCTTTAAAAATTGGCCAGCTCCTTCCCCCACCTGTTCCATTCTGTTCTCATCTCTTCATGTTGCAGCCATTTTCCAGAACAGAGTCCTCATTGTCCCCAGAAGACCGATGTGGACACCGAATAGCCCCAGTCCCCACGAATAAATGTTGTGCTCCAATAAACCGTCTTCACACATTTGTCCCTGCCTGTTCCTCAAGAGTATCTGTTGGTGCCCAGCTTTCCTTGAAGACTCAAGGGAAGAGAATAAGACGGCGATAGGCACAGGATGTGGGTCCTGGGTTTCCTGCCATCTCCGTATCACCTCCTCATGAGTCTGTGCAAGTTGCCGATGTAAGTGGGTCTCTAATTTTTTATCCACAGTGTTTGTTCACTGTTTATAAACCAAGCACTGTTCTAAGAGTGATGCATGCATTCATTACCTCATTTAATCCACACAGTACCACCAATTTACAAATAGGAAATAATCCCAGTTTGCAAATAGGAAACCAAGATTCAGAGAACAAACTCATTTATAATCCATGGGAAATAGTGCCAGAGCAAGGTTTGCAAGACAGGAGTAACTAGATTCATTATCTTATCTGTGCCTGGTCCCTTATGGGGGCTTAATGGGTGGAACCACGTGGTGATTGATCTGGCCTTATCAGCTGCTACTAAATGCCTCAGGGCTGGGGATTGGTCCTGGCCAGATGCCCCATGGAAAAAAGCCAGGAATTGGAGTATATGATTGCTTTAGTTTGTGTCTGGAATGTCCTCCAAAGGCTCACCTGTTGAAGGCCTGATTCCAGGTGGTGGCACTGTTGGGAAGTGGTAGAAACTGTAGGAGGTAGGGCGTGGGTGGAGGAAGGAGGGCACAGGGGGACCTGTCCTTGAAAGGTACGTATTGTCCCTGGGCTTGCTCGGTCTCTCTCTCCTATTTGCCAACAGGTGAACCACTTTTCTCAGCCACTCTCTTCTGCCATGATGTGCCTCACCATGGGCCCACAAACAATGAAGCCCCGTGACCACAGACTGAAATAGTGAAAAATAATTCTTTAAATTGATTTTCTCAGGTGTTTTGTTATAGGGATGAAAAGCTGACGAACACAATGACATGTGTTTACGGGGAGATGATGCCTTATGATTCTTTTCAGCTCTAACTTGTGTTAAATCTCTAAAGCTGGAGAGGAGAGTGACAATTTGGGCTTTATCCTGTATGGAAAAATGGCACCTAGGCAGTTGGTGGCTACTAAGGGACTGTCTCTGCTCCCCAGTACAGAGCACCATGGGCTGAATGTCCCAGTCTCGTCTCCCAGCTCTGGTTGGCCTGGTGGCTGTGATCAGTGAAGTCTGGGGCGCATCTCATGGAGGAAGGCACTGTGGCCTTGTTTCTCATTCCAGGTCCCCAGGAGCAACACAGAAGCAGCTGGTGACACAACAGCATTGTCCTCGAGCACAGAGGTCCCCTTTGTTTCCCCAGTACACAGAGCAGTGGCTGTAACAATGGCCTTGAATGGCACTTTACCCTCCTTTCTCCAAYGTTACACTGTTTTTCAGTCCTGGAATTGGCTAAACAATGACTTCCTGCAGGAGTATCATCTTTTTAAATTTTCCATTTGCTTCTCCATCAGTCTTCAGGCCCTCGGTCGGTGAGGGGTGAACCAGGCCCAGAGAGAGCTGGGCCCCTGGAAATGTCACCTTCTCAGGAGGCTGGAAAGCTATGCTATCTGCTCTGCCTGGCAGGGTAGGATCCGCCCTGGAGGAAGGAACCAGACCAGGTAACACAAGAGAGCTGGGGGTTCGGGGTGGCTTCAGAGGGCACTGCAGGTAATGGCAGAGGGTCTGGCCCAACGAGGATGGGTTTCTGGGTCCAAGACTCTTATTTGCTTGAGAGCCACTGTCTGCTGGTAAACAAACAAACAAGCAAAAGCAACTGAGGTCCAGTTTTGCAGCCTCCAGATTAGGGACATAGAGCCAGCCCGCCATATCCACGGGCTCCACATCTGAGAATTCCACCAACCTTGGGTAGAAAGTCTTTGAAAAATAAGTTGCCTCTGTTCTAAACATGTATGGACTTGTTTTTCTTTGTCAACACATTATAGCAACTATTTACATGGCATTTGTATTGTATTCATTATCAGAAGTAAGATTTAAAGCAAAGGAAAGGGTGTGGGTAGGTGATATGCAAATACCACRCCATTTTAAAAATAAGGCACCTGAGCATCCTCAGAGCCTGGTGTCAGCAGGGGTCCTGGAACCAGTCCCCAGTGGCTAACAAGGGATGACTGTCTTCTGCTTCTTTGACCACCATCCAATGTCTGTGATCTATCTGAGTGAGTATTGCATCTGTGTAAATACTACCRCATTATCTCAGTGCATTAATAGCAGTAACTGCAAACACTTAGACCACATGCCTCACATTCTTGCTGGATCCAAGTCCGGGCAGTCTGGTTCTAGAATCCATGCTTTCCATCACCAGGCACCTCGTATAATGTTCTTTACAACCTCGAGCCGAGAAGCCAACATCGTCGCGAGGTTTCACTTGGAGAGGCGGTGAAGTATGACGACACTGCGCTTATGGAGCCCCTTGTCCTGTGCCAGTGTTCTAAATGCTTTTGCATCTATTTCCTCATCTGCTCTCCACAATAGCCCTATAAGATGAGTTCTTTATWACCCCTATTTTATAGATGAGGAAATGCAAGTACAGGGAACTTAAGTCATGTACCCAAGATTGCACGGATGTGAAGTGACCCAGCCAGATTTGAACTCGGTTTTCTTTGGCATATTATGTGAACTGAAGGCCTGCCCAGCACTGCTGACTGGGAGTTTGTTGTGTTTTTCTCTGAGTCATGGGGTAGAGAGGGTGGTGTTCAGTCCCTGTATTTGTGGAACATCTGTACTGGAGTTGTTGGCTCAAAGAATGCAGAAGCTGTTAAAGGACTTGTCTGCTGTCATCAGGTTTTGTCCTGCTCAAAGAGGATGGGATTGCTTACTGGTGACAGTGGGGGAATTTTTAAATGGTAATGATTGCTTATTAAATGGGGTCTGTTACTTTTCCAGAGACTGGGCCAAACTGCTACACATGAAAGAGGACTTATGTTAAATAATTAGGACTCCTGGAGTGTGTTCTGGGATTCAGCTTTCTTTTTGCCTTTCACTGTCCTTAACTTTTTTGGGGGGACACTTCTTCACTCATGCTCTTTGATGAAAATTAAGGCAGGTCTGTGACCCTTCTGGCTGACCTCCAGGAATCAAAATATGTTAGTTGCTTCTAGTTCCAACACTGCCTCAGTTCAACAATTGTTATGCCCGGCCTTAAGGTCAAAGTCAGACTTTAAACTTCGTTCCAGTGCAGACTCTGTCTGTCCTCCAACGGAGCAGCATGCTGGGAAGGGGCCTGGGATTCCCTTCTCAATAACACTTTGGTGTTATAGTCAGCTTTCTGTCACTGTGACAAAATGCACGAGAAAATCATCTTTCAAGGAAGAAATACATATTTTGGCTCATGGTTTCAAGGTTTGTTTTTTAACCATGGTCACTTGGTCCTGTCACTTGTGAGCCTGTGGGGAGGCGATAGTGTGTCATAGTGGAATCACATGGTGGAAGAAACCCCATAGCATCTTGGGAAGCAAAAAGAGAGAGAGAGGGAGAGGCATGGTCCCAATATCCCCTTCAGGGACACAGCCTAGTGACATAATTTCTTCCATTAGACCCCCACCTCCTAATGGTTCTGCTGCCACCAAGCCTTTAGTGTCTGGGTTTTGGGGGGACGTTTAAGATCTAAACCACACTGAGGTAGGTTGGCATCTGCTGCCTGGACCTGGTGGATGTTTAAACCCACTGCTTTAACTCTTGTCACAAATTTGTGGATACTTTAGAGGGAGCCTTCCTTCCTCACCTTTGGGCTCTCTGAACAGCTAGTCCCTTGAAACTGAATGCCTAAGACCTTTGTTGGTTCCCAGGCTTCAGAGAGGTGCAGTATTAGTTTGCCAGGGATGCTATAACAAAATACCACAGACTCGGTGGCTTCAATTACAAAAATTGACTTTCTTACAGTTCTGGAGACTAGAAGTCCAAGATCAAGAGGACAGCTGCTGACAGTGGCCTGACTCCTTGGCTTGCAGGTGGCTGCCTTCTTGCTGTGGCCTCACATGGTCTTTCCTCTGGGTGTGCTCATCCCTTGGGTCTCTCTCTCTGTGTTAAAATGTCTAGTCATATTAGATCAGGGTCCACCCTAAAGGCCTCATTCTAGCCTCATCATCTTTAAAACCCTTCTCCCTGCCAAATGTAGTCATGTTCAGAGGTGCTGGGGAAAAGACTTCAACATGTAAAACTGAATCCATACTGGGTTGAATTGTCAGCTTCTTTCAGCAGAAAAAAGACATGTTGTTCTCACTGTTTGAATCTTGTCATCTGAAACTGCTGTAATATGTAGGTCATGGCTGTACCCTCAGTTGACGTGGAAAACACAGTCGAACACAATCGAACCCTGGCTCCTGCCCCAACCCACGGAGCCTTCCGAGAGAGCCTTCCTTCCTCACCTTTGGGGATCTGGGAACAGCTAGTCCCCTGGAGCCCAGAGTGTGACGACTGTACACCTGTCTGTTCCACCACAAGCCCTTGATCCTTGGGACTTCTCCGAGGGCTCATCCAGGATGAAAAATTAAACAAATATTGAAAAAATGATAGAAACAAAAGTGCACCGCTGTGTCCTTCTAATCCTCATTGATTTTTTAAGATCTTCTCAGGCGTGAAAACATGATTCATGGCTGGCATCTTGACGTTGGATTCCTGCTTGCTGGGACATGCTTTATTGATCAGGTGGGCGTACCCAGCAGCAGGAGTGGGCCTGCCCAGCAGCAGGAGGGGTCCTGCCTGCCCCTCTGGATAACCAAGCCCCAGAGACGGAGCTGGGCTGGGAGCCAGGCATCCACTCGAAATGAGGGACCCTAGAGCCCCAGAGGGTCCTCACGGCATCCGTGGAAGCCATGGAGGCCACTTTTCAGCTTCATACGGACTCCCCAGGGGGTCTCACTTTTTCCTTGCTGAAGACCCCAGAATTCCTGAATATTTTTTTTTTCAGCGTCAGAAATGATAGAATGACTGCCTGATTTCATGGTTAGAAGACATGGGTCTTCAGAGGGAAACATGGGTTCTTTGGCATATTCTTCTGCCTTCCATTCCTCTCTCAAAAGGAATTTTTCATTGAACAACAGCTATTTACTCAGCTACTATTATGTGCTACATCCTATGTGAGGGGTAGGTGATAAAGCCATACTCACAATAACAAAAGCTGTTGCTCTCCTGAAGCTTACATTCTAGAGCATATTGTGGGAGCAATTTGGTATGTAACCTTCCTATTATCTATCTATCTATCTATCTATCTATCTATCTATCTATCTATCTATCTATCATCTGTAAGCACAAACAGGTCCATGCTGCACGTGTGATTCTGTGTCTTTTTCACCAACAATGTTTTGGAGTTCATTTCATGTCAGCATGTATAGACCTTCCCCGGTCTTTGATGGTAGTCCTCTGTAGTATAATCTCCTGCTGGGAAATATCCAGTTCTAATATTTATTTTCACCAACAGTGCTGTAGCAACTTCCTTCTGCATACACTGTTGTACCCACAAGTYTGTGCACTTACCAAGTCATGATGTGTAAATTAAGATCCTCTCTGTGCCACAGTTTCCTCATCTGTGCCACAGAAGTGACACCAACACTTCTCTGTAGCCATCAGGGAAATGCAAATCAAAACCACAATGAGATAGTGCTTCACACCCACTGGGACAGATACAATAAAGCAATCAAACAAAGAATAAATGTGGATGAGGATATATGGATTGAAAACTTTGTACTCGGATGGTGGGAATGTGAAATGGTGTGCCACTTTGGAAGATTAGTCTGGTATTTCCTCAAAAGGTTAAATGGAAAGTTAAAATTTAACCCAGCAATTTCACTCCTAGATCTATTCCCAAGAGAGAAGAAAATATATGTCCACCTAAAAGTTAGTTTAGGAATGTTCATAGCAGTGTATTTAAAGAGCCACAAAATGAAAACAATCCAAATGTCTATCATCCTAATGAATGGATGAACAGAATGTGGTAAGCCCATACATCAGAATATTATTCAGCATTAAAGGGGGTGAAGTGATAGAAATATTTTTTTAAAATAGCTGTGGTGATGAGTGGTCATATCTGAGAATATACTTAAAAACCACTGCATTATGTGCCTTAAACAGCTGCATTTTATGGTAGGTGCTAAGGTCTGAATGTTTGTGCCCCTGCCCCCCAGATTCACATGTTGAAACCTAATTACTGCTGTGACAGTGTTAGAAAGTGGGACGTTGGGAGGGGACTAGTGCATGATGGCGGAACCCCTGTGAATGGGATTGGTACCCTTGAAAAGAAGCTCTAGTCAGCTTTCTTGTCCCCTCTGCCATGTGAGGACACAGCAAGATGCCACCTTCCATGAACTGAAAGTGGGCCTTCATCAGTCAGCAAGTCCCTGAAATTTCCAAACCTTTGATCTAGGACTTCCTAGATTCCAAAACTATAAGAACTGACTATCTGTTCTACATAAGTCACTTGGTTTRTGGTGTTTTGTTATAGTAGCTAAAACAGCCTGAGTATGTGAATCATATCTCAAAAAAATTAATAGGGTAACTTTGAGGAATGAACAAAGGATAGACATGAAATGGTAGAACGGCACCAAGCATTGTATAAACTGAACAGATGTGGCCATGATTTTTGTTATTGCTTCCAGGGCATGACTTC